ACTATGCAAATACTATGCAAATACTATGCAAATACTATGCAAATAGTGTACAAAAAAAATGTACTTTTGTATACAAGAAGTATCCCATATTTGGAACACTTTTGTATACAAAAATTGTACAAAGCTCAATTCATATAAAGGGCATTTATTTAACAAAATGAAATTCATTGTGCGTTTCATTTGCCCAAGTGTATGGTCTTATTACACAACAGCATGTATTTGTATTTACCCATACTTGCATTTAGAATTCAATTTATCAATTGTTTATGCTTAACTGACTGACTATATAGTACATTCATTTACAACCTATGTTGTATCTGTTTGACATATATGTGAGCCAAGGATGTACAACAAACTGATTGCGGTGAGAGTAAAAAGAAAAAGTTCAATAAGTCGTGTTAGGATCAAAACAGGATAATTTGTAATATATGCAAATTAAGCAAACAACTTTCGTGGGAAATGCGTTATGCACACTTCTTATGACTTGATTCTTTCAGTAAACTGTAGTAAAAATATAATTTTACTGATATCCAAAAATATAGTTTAGTATTCCTGTAATTAATCTATTAAAAATGTTTTTATACTCTTATGAATTTAATTGAATATTAAATTCCATATTTTTGTACAGTTTATGTATACATATATTGTATTATTGGGCGTAGTTAAGTTTATTCAGATTCCAAGTCCAATTTTTGTACATTCTATGTATACATAAATAATACTAATATTTGTCAAAATGCCAAGTCAATAATTTGTACAATTAATGTATACATAAATTATACTTCATTCTGACATGATTCTAACAAATTTTTTTGGTTACTCTTTATTTCTTAGTCATGATATTGTACATTTTATGTACATGTAAATTATACAATATTTAGGCATTGAATCCTATGCAAAAAGTTTGTACATTTCTAGTATACATTAATGAATTTGTATAAAGTGTGTATGCAAATAATGTACTGCTGTTTTCTTGTACGTATGAATTTCGTATACAAATAATGTACACAATTTCAAAAAAGTATATTTTTTGTACAGAATATGTATACAATTAATATACTATTGAGGCGGACTTTTTGGTAAGGGATGTGCACTACACTTAGCTATTAATAAACATACATCTGTCACCATGACGCCACAAGTTACAGCATGCTGTAATGTTGCAGTCTTTTACAGGGTATTTTCATTTTACCATACAAGGAAATGTGAATTCCCAATATGGAATGATTACGCATGCAAGCGTCCTCTAATAATAAAAACAAACATGGCTGCTACCAGGGTTTGATCGGACTGCACACAATGAAGTTCGCCGATTCTGTTCTAAACCTTTTGGATTTGGGCATTCCTATAATGTATCATTGGAAGGAAAAGATGCATAATAATGTTATTACGAGGATACTGCAAAGTCTGATAGAAAAACGCTGTCGCATCAAACTGATGTGCGTCTGCTGTACTGTCTTCGTGCATACTTTGAGGTATCCTCGTAATAACCTCATATTCATGTGCTTTAATTGCACTTTAAATATACCGGGTAATTCAGAAATTTTAGCACTTGCAACATTTTTGCAACTTACAAATTAAGAAAACTGTCGACAGAAGAGTTGCCATTATACCTAATTTTCACTAACAAATTAAAACTGTAAACAGTAATCAACCAGTTATCTTTGAGTACACTTACACATTTATGAGATGTAATTAACAGTTTAAAAAAAAAAATCATCTTAAGATTTACAAAGATTATTCATTGCACGAGATTCAGCAATATATGAATTTGTACAAGTAATTTCTCTTAACTTTCATCTACTCTTGTAGTTTTATTTCAATTATTGTAGTTCAGTTCACGGAAGACGAGTATTGAATCTTGGAAAAGTATATTTCTGGCTTGTGTTGCATTCATTTACATGTCAAAACTCCATTTTTAGACATCTTGTTAATTTGATTTTGAGTGTTTGCGGCAAAAATAGGTACTCTGCCTAATTCACAAGGCTGAGAAATTAGCAATTTTTTTTTTCTCTTACTTTTCCTTATACCTTCTAAGGTAACAACGCTCACCTTCAACAAGGATTTGATCTTGAAATGTCTGCTCTACAACTATTACTTGTGTGCCATCTAAAGTCACCACAGTGTCAGGATCCTGCCCGTCCACATTACCATCTACAAATAAACCATCTTCAAATACAATGCCACCATGGAAACTGAATCTATTGTAGAGATCCTAAAATAGAAAACGCTCATTATTTCATCAATTATCAAAACAAAAAACAAGTTTGAGATGTTACCATTAGGCAAAAATAAAAATTATGTTGCCCTCAAGTCTGAACCCTGGGGATCAAACAATGCCTGGGGCAGTTCATTTAAGGAAACACTTTTACTGCTTAAACATTATTTGGGCCTATTAAAAAAAAAAAAAAAAAAAAATTGCGACCCGATATTTCATATTTTTCAGTCAGTCGCAGAGGGCAACAAAACAATTTTTAGGCCTTATACAACTTGACAAGAAAAAGCAATCATTGTTCATTGCACCAAAAGCAACAGGTTGTAATACTTACTTGGTCAACATTGATTTTCATAGTATCCAGCTCAAGCTCTGTAAAGTTTACACCATCAACGTCTTCCATGTCGTCCAAGATGAAATTTGATTTGACATTCAGGGATTCAGTAGTTAAGTTCATAAAGGTTTTATGTCCTGAAATGATTTAAAGTGTATCACATTCACCTTCAAATAAATTAATATAAAATACTTTATTTTCACTTATAATTAATTTTTGCTAAAGGCATGATTCTGTAAAAATAATATCCAGCGAATACACCTTTTTCTCCTACATTTTACATTAAACTAGTCAAAAAAAAAAAAAAAAGTTTTATAAATAAATTCCATACAAAACACCCATAAAATATTCATTAAAGAATTCAAGCTAAAATAAAGTATTTTACAGTATAGTTATGAGGAGCAATCAACTCTGGTAGAGCACTCTTAATTTGAGGGGGATTCCCCCACCCCCCACTCACAAAATCCTCTTTTAAATTTTAAACAAAAGTAGCTTTGAGAAATGGTTGAAGGAAATAACCTACATTACTGTAAGGTGGCCACTTAAAAAACAGTTAATATGTTAATTTTTTTTCTAAATGGCTCTCCAAGTCTTAATTTCAGCAAAATTTAAACATAAATTGAACTGAATATGCAACATCTGATGTTTTGCCTTTGTACTAAAATTTTAGAATCTGTAGAAGCATTTGAGAAGCTGGAAATGTACTTTATTCAGACTTGCCTGGAAACTATTTTTAGAACTGTCCAATGTCATCAAAATGAAAAACAAATCAATATCGCATGTATATCACAACTACCAAAAAATCTGTAAGCTTCATTCCTAATGAAAGTCTCACCAATTTTTTTTTTTGAACAATTGAAAACCAAATATTCACAATTTCTCATTTGTGTAAGATGCTCCAATAAAAACCGTATCCCCTCTGTTGCATTCTAACATTTTGATAGAAGACACTGCTAATACAGATTTTACAGTAGTCATTGTACTAACTTTGACGCAAATCTGACTGCAAAACAATTTCTCATGTTTCAGAATACACGAGACATGTACATTCCAAAAAATGTACTTTTCCAAGTATCAACCAAATCTGAGCCCAGCAGAATCAAGTGTTTATTCACATTACTGACATATTGCACTGAATCAGAGAACTTATTACAGCCATTCTGAGAATTATTCGGACAGTCAGTTAGCAAAATGACTTGCAACTTTGCAAAACACTTTGGTCTTTGCCCAATCTAGATGCGTCGGCGCCACTTGAGTGACGGGCACATGGTTTGGGATTACTATTTCATAGGGGTTGTCAGCTTGGTGAATTGTAAGTATTATCTAGTGTGCGTTCACAGCAACCATTCTTTATTTTTTATAATTATATTGTAATTATTTTCAGTAATTTTGAAAATCACAAGTTGGATGTTGCTTAAATCTGTCAAAAAATGTCAACCCCTCGCTCATTTTAGTCAGTTGTACCTGTTACAAAAATGGACTAGACATAACTGTCGTTATACCCTGTCATTTTCAAACTGCAGTTGAAAAAGTGATTCGATCAAGGAAGGCACTTTTGATTTGACAAAATCCATCAAACCATTATAATCTAGTTTTCCGTCTGTATCCCTGACGTACTCACAGCACCAGTAATGTAAAAACAACTTTTAGTTTGACCCAAAACTGTCGCGAAACTGCAGCGCGTCCCGCTAAGAAACTTTATTTTGAGCCTTCCCGCCAACAAAGAGTTTAATCATACCTGGGGTGACTCAACACTCGGGAGTTGTTTTGTAAATTACGCTATGTCAGGTGGACTTGGATGGTAATAACAATTTAAAATAACACTTTGAATGCATATACAACATATAACCTGTTAATATATGGTAACCAACGCGCGTCGTTTTGAAAACAGCGTTTTACCCGCATTTTGCAAGATAATCGAATGATTCCAGTTGTGGGCGCGCCAATACAACGGGCGCCATCAAGTCTAGATTGGAAAAGACTCAAGTGTTTTGCAAAGTTCCAACATATATTGCTAACTGACTGTCCGAATAATTCTCAGAACGGCTGTAACACGTCTATTGACTACGAAGTATTAGACGCAAATGACAAAGCATGCAATTTGTACTGGTAACCTTTAAAAGCAGAAACTCTCATTGATGATTTTTGAAGTCCTTCAATATTTAAAAGGCTTTTGCCTTCAACACAACTTTAAGAACCAAATCATTTAAGCTTGTCAAAAATTAGTGAATTTATTTTGTAGAATTAAGATGACCAACTACAACTTCCAATAAAAATATACCAGAATTCAGTAACAATTATCGTACATGTTGGTGAATTCTTACCGAGTATGTTCTGATCACCAACTGTCTTCATTGCTCTGTTCAACAAACCTTCAACAACTTCAAGTCTTTGCTGAATATTGGTTATATTTTCTTTCACTTCCGGAAGTGCACTGACTTCACTTTTATCAAAAAAAGCACCATTATTACCCTCGACTGTGAACCAAAAATTAGTAGAATACATTACATGTAGTTGCATGAACTTGACCAAATTGTGGGCTGAAAGTTAAATTAGTTCAATGCATCTTGGAACAGATTCAATTCAAACAAAATACATTCACTACATTTTAAAGGAGACTAAACAATTTGGTAAAATACAGTATATTGCCAGTGCGCAGTGAGAGTTAGTGATGGTACCAGTAAATGGTACCTAGATTGAACTTAGTGGTCATTTACAAGGGCTCACATTGGGGGCAAAATGTCAAAGTTGATTACCTTCAGAACATGTGGTGCTAGAAAAGATTGCCTCCTGGGTGCATGACCAAGAAAAGATCTTGGATTTTGTACAAAATTGAACCAGAACACAACTTTGAGAGGATAGAAAGCATTTTACAATGCAAAGTCCCCGTTGGGCATTTAATTTTAAACACCTCAATTATACAATTCTGTTATATTCAAACGAGTACCATTAAAATGCAGCACAAATTTATGATTCTGAATAGGAAATTTTACGTCTCGTGTCGCCGTACTTGAGTGACCTGCTAGTTGCATCTCAAAGTGATGTGCATCAATCTAGAGTAATTTTCACTGTTACTCATTCCACTAAGTTGGAAATACACATGCCCAAGGTGGTTCCGGACTAAAATTGTCCATTTTAGGTAACTTTTGATCAGAAAACTATTTTTATATGTGCATTTCTGGACCGCGATATACAATTTAGTTAATCAAGTTTGAAGTGAAATACTCCAACCATTCATGTATACGCAAGACGTGTTTGAGAAAGTTTATCAAAAACAAAATGGCTATCAGTCTGCCATCTCTCGTCAAATTCACAAATCAGTGATGTGCATCAACTACCAATAATGTTTAATCCTTCAACAAGTTTGAATAAAATTGGACAACACATGCAGGAGATCATGTCAAACTTCGATTATAGTGCAGTTTTCAAAACTGAAATAGATCAACAATGTGCCTGCATAAGATTACATGTCGAGTATGTACAATGTTTGAACAACTATGCCAAATCCCTATTTTACTAGCAAAAATTAACACCACAGAAGCACACCTTTTAATTTTAGTCTTCTAAATGACGCGAGTGTCCAAGGATTTTTTGTCTACATCAACAATTTACGAACACTTGCCTACCCCCCCCCCCCTCCTACCACCACCATGGCAACACCCTTGCTCACAACACAATAAACTGTAGCGACTAAACTTTTATCAAAAAGAATCCTTTACTTACTTTGATAAATATGGGATACATTCGTTACAGTTATTTCATCAACAAATGTTTTTTCACCAGTTATAACCACACGGCTGTCTGTGTAGACAAGATCACATGCAGCAGCTTCGATATCGTTAAAACGTTCCAATTCGGTTGAGATTATAAGTTCAGCGTTGGCACATGCTTCCTTAGCAGACTCTCTTGCATCAAAGATGGGCCTTATCGACGAGAAATGCAAAGTCTCTACATAATTTTCATGCTCTTCGTAGTCAACTAGAAGCACAAAAATCACACCACGTACAAAACTGTAGCCTGGAAAGGCCCTTTTAATCCCTGGGTTATTGTGTTCGAAGTTGACTGTTGTTGGGACAAACCTCCAGCCATCGTATTCATAGAGTTGTATGGGATTAACATCAAGATTGGTAATCAGGATAAGTACATTCTTTTGGTCGTCTCCTTCGATCAGGTTCAAATATTCAATTTGACCATTCTTAATGTGAATACACTGAAATGGTACAAATTTACCTTTGACATATTTATAGATCGAGGCATCAGGAATGTCATCTGCAAATAAAAATAGCACAAGTGTTGACTTAAGGTAGTTAAAAATTAAACATGGTAAAAATTCAAAAAATTGTGGTTCACCGACATGCAAGTTGTATATACAAGCTTTTATGGAGAAAGGAATGCTTTTTTTCAAAGAAACTTGTGCAAAATAATCCAAAAAGCAGGTATTTTGGAATATTTTCCATAGGAATCCATGTAAACTCATTCCAATTTTTCGCGACAGCCATGTGTAGACTTCAAAGCACTACGTATTTTAGTACAATTTATCAAACAAAATTTAGAGATCAAACCAATAGTAAACCATTCAAAAAACATTTATCAATTTGAGGTTGTTTTGTGGAAAACTTATTCCTGTGTCATAAAAATTATTTCAGAATTTTGAGCATTACATTAACCAAACCCCTTCCAGATTGAGAATTTCTGAGAATGTTTTTTCAATGCAAATTACGATAGCTGTTTATATGCAGGTGATGCATGTCATTTTATTTGTTACAGATAAAACCTTTCAACTTTCCCATCACCAGTAGTATGTTAAGACGCTGCTCAGTTTCAAGCAAGCCTGCTCACTATCATAGACTACAGAGTGCCAATATACAGCCCACAACATTGCATCCAAACGTGCATCCTCAAGCATGCTTGTCCCTTTGTGATGGACAGAAACAAGTTTGTGTGTATTCGTAAAATTATTTTGCTAATGTATTGTCAGTATATTTTAATTTCAATCAAAGTGTAATTTCCTTGTTAAATTTATCTTTAGTTACAATTTTATTAAATCTGTAATGATAACTTTCTAGAATTTATTCCCAACTGCCCACTATTTTGTAATTGAAATTTATTAGGGTGGTTTTTGGAATAACTGCTGTAGAGAAAAGTTACTTTAAAAGCATTTATTCATTGGGGTTTAATTTCACCATTTTTGTGAATAAGTAAAATCTACTAAATTAAATCTATGTGAACATGTAAAATAACAATAAAACTCGTAGTTTCCTTGACAAATTCGTGAAATTAAAACTGAATATGGTAAAACATCAAAATAGTGAATTAAATGTCGGTGGCACGGCAATACAATATTACATACCCGAGTCGTCAGCATGGATTTGATTTCTAAGTATGAGGAAATGTTCTACAAAGGTTCCAGTTCCATAACTGATGTGCTCGAATTGCATAGCTCTAAGTGTACGGATGTACTGTACATGATCAAAGCTTTCAGTATGAAGATTCAATACAAGAATTTCAGAATCAGTCTCTGGGTTGTTTTCCAGCGAGTCCATGTGAGGTACAGCTAGATGCACATTGTCGTGCATGGTGAATGCTTCAATGCTATTGGGCCAACTGGTACGTACCGAGGTGATGTGATCAAAATAGTTTCCTGGAAATAAAATGCCATAGTGTCAGTTATTGGCCGACTTGATCTACAAATCTATGCCCAAGCTAGATTTGGGGTAAGATGGGACACTTAATTTTATGGATTATGCTGGATTCTCGGAAGAATACAATTATAGGCAAATCCTTCAATATTTCCTGCAATTTGCACTTATTCATACCATCAAATTTCACTTAATAGCCCCAAAACTCAAACAAGCAGCCTCTCGGCTGAGATAGCTCTGCTGTTAGCAATGTTCATTTCAATTAGAGAACTAAAAATATCAAGAAATTAAAAAATCTGAGAGGTCTACCCAAGATGCCTATATGTACGGTATAATATCAAAACATTACAACTTTTAACAAATTGAAAATATCACTTTACCAAAAATTACTAATATTTACCAAAATTAGAATTAAAGTTACCATAAAATGAATAAAACTAATTGAGGTCTACCCAAGGTACATATACGCCAAGTATCAAAGCTTGCAGTTTTCAAGAAGTCAAAATAGTTAACACTGACGAAGATAGAATCGCTCATGATGAAAGCTATAGAATAGAGATTGACTGCTAAATTGAAATACAATAGATTTATTTACCTAACGAGCAGTAGACATCCGATCTAGTCTCCAAACCTCCTTTTGTAATTATCATACATTTAGTGTCTTTATGAGGTAGATCAAAAGTTGTGACTGAACTGGCACCATACGTGTGCATCCTCTGTAGAGAATAATCCTCGATGGATGTAGCACCCTGTTTGTATCTCCTTATTTGAGTCAATGGCACTTTGCCAGCTGCAACAAACAAATCAATGCAACAATCTCAAGATACATGAATGTACATGCAAACCAAAGATGTCCAGGTCAAATTGGAATTACCGAGAATTTTGGTAAATACTACTGTGATCAAGTTTTCACCATGTTAGGGAGTTACTAATCAAATTAATTTGATATGTAGCATTGCCTTCAGGATTAGTTTGAACATTCAAATTGCATTTTCCTGTACCATTTCTGCTGCTATCAAAAGTTTTGCAAGCAGGGATTGTTCAGAAAAATATAAATGTATGAACTATTGATGTGGGTTCATGGCTTGTTTTACTGAACATGGCAAAACTTGAATTCACAGATAAAACAATACTACTGTGGTAATGCATTTAATACTCTCTGTAAAATTCTGATTGCCGATAAGTAAAATACACTAAAATTAAATCCACACGAACATGCAAAAAAATAAACCTTGTTGTTTTCTTGCCAAGGTTGTAAACACAATAAAATTGCTCAAAACATCAAAAAAGTGAGATTAAATTGAAATACAATTTGATCCTGTATACGGTTTTGAAAAAAGGCTGCCTTCAGGCACCACTTATCAGCTTTAGATACACTGAGCAGCTATTGATGTCAGACGAGATGAGATGAGACGAGACGAGACAAAACTTCCACATACATAAAACACTGGATAATTACTATACAACTCAAAAGCTAAGGTTGTGTAATACTCACTTCCTCTATCTTCGTAACTATCTTGCACAAGTACAATAAACAGATCTGTTCCCACAGTAAAAGATGTGACATCCTTGATTGCAGGAGCATCTAACCATTCTGTTACATTCCACTCGCTTCCATTCTAAAAAAAAAATGAGATGTACATTCCATGCAAACCGGTATAATTTCAAAACTAATTTGTGCTCAAAATTTCAGTAAAATATAGTCACATGTTCTAGAAATGACAAGCGACTTTAGCTTACAAGGCATACAAGAATCTTTTCAGCCATTTAAATCATTTTTTTATGAAAACTATAGAATATTGCGAGAGCTCCCAGCATAGACATTGATTTTAAATTAAAAGTAGCAACAATTGTACCTTTCTAAAAACCTTTAATTATGTAATATTTCAAATTTATTGCACACAATGCATTTGGAGTATATAGTAAACTTATTCATTTCGCAAGAGAAATTTATGAAATTAGGAAGTCGGTGAAAGCCACAAAAATACATATATGTATACATTTGATGGATTATCGCCGAAAAAGAGGACTTGTAAAAATGAATTATTTTAAAGTTTCAACAGAACTTCAGTAACCTAAAACTAAAAGTACACAATCATACATCTTGACTTTCTGAAAATGTATTGCCATAGTTACAACATGATTGAGAAAGCCCCAATTGCAATTAAACAATTACTCAATATCAAACATTGAGAGAATTAATATTTTAGTTCACTCAATCCGACTTACAAGCCTTTTGAGTACACAAGAAAATCAGATGTCCTAACAGATAAGAATATCATTGGAGCAGATATTCATCGTCTATTCAAGACATGTAACGAGTGACTGTTTGGCCTCAAAATACAACTGACATGCAGTTTATTCCCAAAATGACACCGCTTGCCATGATGCTCGATGTCAGATAAGCATAGTAATTTTGCCTGCCATCTTGCTCTAATTCCTTTGATCAGTAAACTTAAATAAACGTACCTGCCGGAGTATTACAGCACTTGAGTATCCATCTTCATCTTGAAGTAGCATTAAGATGTGCATGTATGAATCAAGTTGAAAATCTGTCACATCACTGATAACATTATCACCGAAATAAAGAGTGGTGTTGTAGACTTCAGAAGTTGTCACATTTGTTAACCTGTAGTGCGCTGTAAAATAAATACAATACAAGAATCTTTCTAACTTTGCATAACACATTGAGTATTCAAGCAAAGACTAGATGGTCATTACATGTATTTAGGGCAACAATAATGTACAAGGGAATAATCTATTTTATAGTTTGATGGTGCTCTATAATGGTTTAAAATATTGGTTAGAGCATTTAGCACAGTTTAAATTAATCATTGTGGGACAGATGAACAAATTTATTTTATCAATACAGGTAAAGGGATGTTAACCACGCCATACACAAGGTGAATGTCAAGTGAAAAGCAATGTGAAAAGTAAACGTTGAGTAGGTGCATGGAACTAGAAACCACCATGGTAGGTGCCATTCCTGTCCCCAGATGGGAATTTTGCACGATGTACACCATTAT